TGATTTTGGACAAGTTATTTAACTTCTCTGAACCTTAATTTCCTCATCTTAAAATAAGATTCATAATAGTATCTACTACTCTATAGGGTACTGTGAGGTTTAAAAGTAGAAATAGTACTTGGCACATAGCAATTTTCCACAAATGGTAGTTACTCATATTGTTATCACCTGTCATTGCTTTTTTTCTGCTTTTCAAAGCACCATCACAAACATCCACCTGAGTCCTAAATGAAGTCATTTCCTTTCAACCATTTAATTTCTCAGATCCTTAGATTCATATAAACCTGTATAACCTGTGCTGGGGTCGGGGGTAAGAGGGGTCTAAGAAATCTAGTCCTTATTTTGGAAGAGAGACCTCTTAAGGCCCAGAATGGTAAAGCGATGTGCAGCCAGTGTCCTGCCTCTGCCCAGTGCAATTTTGAGTAATCCACACAGCAGTTGAGAAATGCGAGTTTCTGATGGTGAAGTGGGGCTAACAGGTGAAACTGCCAGGACTGTAGCCAGGATTCCCGACATCAAGTCCAGTGTTCTCTCTATCCCATCAATGCCAGTCAAGATCTTTTGTACTTTCATGACCTCTTAGCATCCCTCTCATTAATGGTGTTTCATGGACATTTCATGCAATGTAATAAGCATTATGAGGAGTTTCGAAAGGAGCAACACAGAATCTTGTACATAACCTTGAGTTGTTTTAAAACTCACATGTGCCAGGTGCGGTGGCTCCCGCCTGTAATCCTAGCACTCTGGGAGGCCGAGGCGGGCGGATTGCTCAAGGTCAGGAGTTCGAAACTAGCCTGAGCAAGAGCGAGACCCCGTCTCTACTATAAATAGAAATTAATTGGACAACTAATATATATAGAAAAAATTAGCTGGGCGTGGTGGTGCATGCCTGTAGTCCCAGCTACTTGGGAGACTGAGGCAGTAGGATTGCTTGAGCCAGGAGTTTGAGGTTGCTGTGAGCTAGGCTGACGCCATGGCACTCACCCTAGCCTGGGCAACAAAGTGAGACTCTATCTCAAAAAACAAAAAACTCACATGTAAAATATTCACATCAGTGTAGGTTTGCAGCCTTATTACAACAACATTATTTTTAACTTGAGATTCTAAGTTGACAAAGATCTTAATGAACAGGCAGGACAAAAGGAGCTGTCTGTCCATGGCTCGTTAGCTCCTAAAGTTAATGCTTCTCACAGGGACGAGAGTCAGCCAAAGGACAGAGCTCCAGGCAAATTGGAAAACATTCCTCCAGCCCACAGATCACGGATTATGGCATCTTATGAGATGCTCCCAGCTTTCCCCAGCTAACTGTTCCTTCTGTCATTGGAAAGTGCCAACTGTTACTGGGTGCTCACGTTAAGCCAGGCCATGAGCAACCTCACTTAATTCTGACAACTACCTATAAATAAGATACTACCATAGTTCACCTAATCAAAAACCATAGTTCACCTAATCAAAAACTATAAGACACACCATTACTTTATGTATCAAAAAAGGAAGCCACTGCCAACTACAATTATAAGACCACATAAATTATGTTTTTTTTCAGAAATGTTAAGATGAGATAAATGGTAGTCTTAGCATTGTTGAAATAGCAATATCGTCCCACTCTACAGATAAAGAACCTGAGGTACAGAGAAAGTAATTTACCCAAGGTCATGTAGCTGGTAAGTAGAGCACAGGGATACAGACCCAGTAAGGCCAGTCACCTTTCCATGGCAGTAAACTCCGATTCCCTAACAGCCTCGTAGATTACCCACAACTGCAGTGGGCAGAGAAGCGGGACACTGCTAACTTTGGCTCTACCACGAGCATAGGAGCTCATTAACTGTCTCAATTCTTCGAATCTCTCTAAACCTGACCTTTCATAAGTTCACTCAAGAAGGGCACTGCACTAGACTATCTCTAACAAACTGTCATTTCTCTCCCAGGAAAAGCAATGTAGTACAATGGAAAAAGAGCACTGTGTAATCAAAATCCTAGATTGAAATTCCTGTTTCACTATTTAACCAGCTTGTCATCCTGGGCAAGTTACTGAACTGCTCTGAGTCTCAGTGTCTTCTTCTGTAAAATGGAGCTATCACCACCTCCCTTAGAGGGCTGCTCCAGGACTGGAGAGGATACATATAAGGGGCAGAAAGTAGTACCTGGCAGAGTGGAACTCAACAATGCTCTCTTTTCTACACTAGTCTTCTTTTGCCTTGGGACAGAATCAAAGAAGTAGCATTCCCTGTCACCTCAACAGTTCCCCAAGGACTCTCAGAAGATAATGAAGATCAGACAGAAGGAAGTAGACCTTGAGGAATACTCAGGCAAAGAAAATGAACTAGAAGCACCTGGAGGACAAGGGGCAGTGTTTGTTTAATGAACTCCCTAATTTTTTTTTTCTTTTTTTTTTTTATCTTAACACCTGCTGTGTGATAACTCCCTAATTTTTGAATAAATGAATTGATAAAGAGAAAAAAAGAAAAGAAAGAACAAGCACTTACTATCAAAAGACACAGGTCAATAAGACATGAAGATGAGTACAGTTTTATACTGAACCTGACACAGAAAACTGGTCTTTGAAAATTCAGTTTGATACTGAAAGTAATCTACAGTGGGAAGAATTTCCCCATTACTCTGTTATGTTCTTACATTAGGTAATATTCTGTGTATTTCTCCCCTTTCTGTTCTCAAGGGCTTCAGAAAATCCCCAGAAAACAGGAGCTTTTAATTTCCTGGGACAGTAAATCATATGGCATATAGAAACAAACTCTTCGCCCTTTTTTTCATTCCATCGCATCTATAATGCCTAGCAGTTTCTGGCATACAGCAGACTCAATAAAAATTAGTTGAATATTTTTTTTGATTCCAGGAAATTGCTTTTTGTTCAATACATTCTACACATTATTCTACCTAAAAGCCTAATCTTTCCTGCTTCTTCTCGGGAAGCATTCTAATAACATAATCTCTAATAACAAACAGTATGTTTGGCATATACTGTGTCTCTAATCTTCTCACATGATGACATTCTCTTTGCTCTTCAGACCTCCAACACTCAGCCCAAACCAAACTCCTGAACTTTTCCTTCCTTCTGGGATCCGTCCCAACCCATGGGTAGCTAACTTGTCCATAGACTCAATTACCACCATCTTCTGATCTGAATCAGTTTGCTAAATCTCCTTCCTCTCAGGCATGGCGCCTCTTCCTGGAGATAAACGTGCAAGCAAGTTCAGTTAGTTCACTCAAAGCCTTCCACATCCCCTCTCTCTAGGCCTTCACTGACACTTCCAGAGAGGCTCAAGTAACAAGAAAGAAATGATATGGCAAAAATCCCACTCTATTCCCATCAGCCCAGGAGGCTTACTTGTTTTCCATAAGTGTACACCAATTACCGATTTGTGTAAGAATTTGAAAGAATACTGAAATAGGCTATGGGCTGGGTAAGTGCTACTAGAAATGGCAGTTTCACTCTTCCAATATGAGATAAGCACCCTGTGCCATGGAGCTCTAAAACTCACAATCCTAAACTTCTCAAACTCCCCCTAGCCCAAAGTTCAAGACCACCTGTCCTCTATTTTTCCTTATTGTTTTCTATTTAAAAGTCACTGGTTGCTTCCCTTCCAGCTTACACCTGGCTCCTGAAATGAATCCACTAAAGCCTTTGAGAATCACCAACACACATAAAAAGGCTCATTCCTTTCAATTCGTGTGCAGAGCTGCTACGGTGTCGCTCCGATTTTAAAGACGAATATGGCACGACCCCTGCCCTCAAGGAGCCCACGCTTTTCCTTCAACTCTAAAAAAGTATGTCCTCCCTTGAAGTGTCTGTAAAACGTAGTGACAAAGTACCTCGCAGCTCTGGAGAAAGAGCGAGGGTGGAAACAGACTTTACCCTTACATTTGATGCCCTGTAACCATAACAACCGATGGTTTAAGCAACTATCAACCCACTGAGGGGCTAAGTTTTCCAAAAACCACTTTCAAAAGGGGAAAGCTCCCCTGCACCAAGTCCCGCCTCAGCCGTGCGCTCAGGGCGGCGTGTGCGGTGCAAGGTGGCCGGCGGGCCCATTCCTTCTCCCGCTCCCACCGTTTCGTTTTCGCGCTCCTCAGCCAGCAGCGCCGGCGTCCACGGTCACACCGCGCTCCCAGCAGGGCACCTGGCGTTAGGCCTCAGCCCAATGTCACTTGTTAACCTTCCGATCCCCCGGGTTTCGGCACGCCGCCGCCTCCCTTCCGAGCACACAAACCACCCCACGGCCACCCGCGTCTCCCAGGAGTTGGAGAAAAACAACCCAGGCGCAGCCAAGCTCTGACAGATTCGCGTAAAAGTAACTGCGGTTCTCCACTTCTGAGCATTTCGAGTCGTGGGCGAGGGGGGTGGCAGGAACTCGGGACCCCATTCATAAAACTATAAGCCGTTTTTCTTCAGCTTGCTTGTGACTGTGCCTCCCCGCCCCGGGCTGAGCCAGGAGCCGGGCACCCCGCCCGGCCCGCAGGCTGAGGGGACGGGCCGGCGGGCACCGCGGGCTGGGGTCAAGCCCACACCTCCCGAACCGGCTCCGGGAGAAGGAGAGGTTTGCTTCGGGGCGTCGCGGGTGGGCGTCCCCGTCAGTACCAGGGCCCTGACAGCGCGGTGGGGGCCGGCCCCCGCGCTCAGCCGCACCAACGGCCGCTGGAGCCGGCCGGTACCCTGAACCCTGCGGCGTCGGGCCGCCCCCAACCCGGGCCTTCTCCGCCGGGCGCTCCCTCCTCCGCCCATGCCCACGCCCGGCCCCGGGCGCGCTCACCCCAGATCCGCTGGCTCCCTCATTGTACTTCGCCGGCGCCCATGTTCCGCGACCGCCGCGGCTCCGGCTTCAGCTAGGGCTCCGGCCCGGGTCCCGCAGCCCGCCCGCCCCCGGGCACTGGCCGCCCCGCCCCGCCGGCGGACCCGCCCCGCGCCCGCGGCCGCCGCCGCCAACCAGAAGGCGGCGGGGGCGGAGCCAACGGCACGCCAGGCCCGACCAATCCAGCTTCCATCGCGCGCCGAGGAGCGGCCGCGGAAATGGGCGGGCGATTCGTCAGGTCTATGAAAGGGGCCACCGCCCTTGGAGCGGGGGAGAGGGGCGTCGGGAGGCTTACCTGGAAGAGTCCGGAGTGGAAGGAGTAAGAGTTTTCCTGTCCTAGCGGGGCTGCAGTGCTTTGCCCTGCTCTTTGCACTTAACTTCCTCTTCCTGCAGCCTAGCAACAAGTGCCCTTGCAGGGTGGGGTGGAGGTGGGAATGGGGGGAGGGAAACTGAGGCTCTGAGAACCAGGAATGTCCCGCTGGGCAAATTCATTCGAATTGGGGTTTTAGAGGGCCGTCAGACATATCTATCCCCGTCCAAGTCCAGAAATTGGCTTTCAAAGACAAATTCCCAGTCTCCCCAGTATGTGCTTCCCCCACCTGACCCCAACATCCAGTTCCGAACCGACCCTGTTGCTGGTTCTTAGAGCTTAGAGCTCATCTAGTATAAACTACTCCTTTTAAAGAAGCAATATCTGAGGCCCAGGGAGGTAAAGAGACTTCCAAAGGTAAATTCTCACTTTAAATGAGCTTCCTGAGATGGTAATGTTCATTTTACATTTACCACCTATGAACCTGGGGTGGCAGACAGGACTGGCACATCGGGATATCCATATTGCCTGTCAATCAGTGCGCCTTCTACAGCTGTGGGTCCCAAACATCAGCATCAGGTCATCATGAAGGATTTTAACCAGCAGATCCCTAAGTCCCACACGAGAGCCTCTAATTCACTAAGTCTTGGGATGACCTGGGGAAAATATGCATTCATTTTTTCAACACCCCTTCCCCCCAGGTGATTCTGATGTGGTGGTACAAGGGCCACACTCAAGCTCATATTTTGAGTCTATCATAGTCATGAAATTCAAATTCAACTGCCCAAAGAAAGCTAAACTTTTTATTCTCAAAGTTAGTAATATGGTTGGGAGATTTTCTAGTAAGGGTAGAGGTCACCTACTGAGACACTCAGAACAGTTCCCTGAATGGGTCATGCCAAGAACTGAATATAGGACACTGGACCAGATGAAGCACCAGCTGAGAGCTTGAAATCCTGGCTGGGGGCAGGGCAAGGTTGAGGCCTCCAGCACCCGGAAGCCAGTCTAGTTCTCTGACCAGTAAGACAATGCGTAAATATCCTAATGGCAAACACACCCTGTCAGTGTCATCACCAGGCCCAGTCATAAACCTGGAAGGATGCCCTGCCCCTCTGGTGCCTCATTCCAAATCCATCAAGCCCTGCCCACCCTCCTGACCACATTCCTCTCCCCTTCCCAGTGCCCTAGTCACCTGTCTCACCCAGAAGTCACTCCCCTCGGACTTGGAGGTTAGTCCTTTCCCACCTGGACCCCTTCCACACAGATTTCAGGCTTTTGGAATGGCCTCCACACAATGACCCTGTTTTTGCTGTGATATCTGATGGGTGCTGTGTTTGCCAGGGACAACTCCGCACACAGATATATCAGCTTTATCAGGATGGAGACTCTAGGTTGCAGACACCACTACCTGGGATCACTGCTAGCCTCCATTGGCTCTACTAAAAAGAAAAAGAAAAAAAGAATACATTAAAAAAAAAAAAAGCAGCGTGGAAGAGTCTGGAAATGCAGAGTCCAGAGGACTGGGCTGAGGAGAAGAACTAAGTAAAAAGGAGAGTGAAGAAGGTAAGCAGCAGAGGATGGATGGGGCAGGGTCCATGGAGGCCCAAGGGGGCAGGGAATGGCCTGGGTCAGGAAGAGGGTTTCCTCTCCCAGGGACATAAGCTGGATGCAGATAAGGACAAGGACAGGTGTGAGGATTCACTCACAGGTGCAGGGCAGGAAGTGGAAGTAATTGTTTTAGCTCTGAAGTAGGAAGCAAAGTCCTCTCTTCAGAGTGGATGATGAGGGGATAACAAAGGAACTTTGAGGAAAACTGTGAAAGACTGGAAAAGCCACCAAGAGGAATGAAAGAGGGAGCTGCCCAATGGAGAGGGAGGCCCTGCAGGGAGGACTGTGAGTTTGCCGTGGCACCAGGTTGGGAGTTGGATGGGTGGTTCTCTGGGGCTTGGCCTCTGGGCCCAGGTACGGACAACCCAGGGTCAGGGTCAGGAACAAGAGAAATGCAACACAGCTGGGGGCACTGACGATAGGTATGGGTCATGGGTTCTGTGCTGGATGGAGGCAGGAAATCCAAGGAGAAGGAGGTGGCCGGGAGGAAACGCGAGGCAGCAGGAAGGATGAGAAGAACCAGACTGTTCCTTCAGGGGGGGTGGTGCTGAGGTTTGCATGGGGGAACCATGCCGAGCGATGACCAGCTCAGATGTGGCCACGGAATTGGAGTTTCTAAAGATGCTCAACTCCTGGGTTTCCCCTTCCAGGTCCCTTTATGGGGAATGATCAGTCTGAGGACCAGGTGGCCCCTAGCACTTCCTGTTCACAACGAACCAGCACTGGGGCGACTCACCAAGATGGGGCTGGGAAAGCATCCTTCTGTGCTGATTTTCCTTCTGAAATGAAAACCTGCTAATAGTCAGATGGACTCCCAACAGCCTCGAGATACACACATTTGTGGGAAGGGCTCCTTGAGGGACATCGTCAGGGGCTTTAGAGACGCCTCTCCCGGTGGGTTGACACTCTTGCGAATGTTGCCGGCCACACTGGAGTGGCAGACAGTGGTGGTACTGATTATTTACTTTGCTAGTCAGCCTGAGACCTGAGGTTATTAAATATAAATGTCTTAAAGGTTTGTCATTCCAGGATCCACTGGGGAACTGTGGCTTGTAATTGATGTGGAGCATCTCCCGAGTGGAATTTCCAGGAAGCAGGACCGACATTTCCCTCGACATTTCCCTCCCGTGTGTCCTGACTCTGTGCCTGGTCTCTCAGGGCCCTTCCCACAGCTCTGCACAGAGAACGAATTTGCCTATCAGCAGATAGTCCCATGCTTTCCCTATGACCTTGACACTGTCCTCCATCCTTGCTGCCTTCCAACCACAAGGCCGTCTGCTAGTGATCACTGTCCTCCTGCCTCCACTCCAGCATGGGAAATCCAATCTCGAGCTTGCCCGGAATCACCCCAGAGCATGATTCTTACCCCAGGGACAGAGGGTTAGCAGCACAACCAGAGGGTGTCAGCCCCAGCCCTGCAGCTGAGGCCTCTCTTGGTCCCACCAGAACACACTGCCTCTTAAGTAGCAGCGGTGGGAGGGCTCAGCTGGCCACTTAATGACATATCCATCCACCTAAACACAGAGGAAGGTTGGTTTTTTGTCTTTTTAACCTTGAAAAGGTGATTTCTATCTCCTGATATAGAGTAGCTAGGAGTGGGAAATGTCAGCTCCCCTCCGGGTTGTTAAACAGAATCGTGAGTGGAAATGATGAAATTGCTAGCCTTTGTCATTTCCATGTGGCTACTCAGCACCGATTTTATTCAGAAGACAGAGATGGCCTATATTTGAGAGCTTAGGCAAAGAAAATGTTTGAGTCTGTTTTGGCCAGGGTTGCCCAGAAAGCAGAGCTTGAAATAAAAGCTCAGTTGCAAATACATTATTGGCAGGTGTGAGCCCAGGGAGCTCAGGGATGAAGGCAGAAGCATCTGAGAATGTGTCATTAGGGTGGCCACATTCCTGGCTGCTTGATCTGGAGGGACCTGAAGAGAAGCCGAGAAGCCCTGTGAGAAGCATCTCAGGACCCACCTCCCGGGCGAAGGGGAAAGAGAAGGCATTTGCACACTGGCTTCTGCTCCCACAGCGAAGAGTCTGCACAGGGACCTGAGCCCTGCTTCCAGAATGCACTGGCTTGGCACTGCGTGGGTTCCCATGTGATCTAAACTGCAGTGTCAAAAGAGGTGCCCTGGGCTGGGGCTGAGAGGTGCCAGCTGCAGGCCCGAGGCAAGATACTGTGGAGTTGCACCTGCCAGAGCTGGTGGCAGCATTCACAGATCTGGCACCGCAGCAGTGGCTGCAAGGATCTCAAGTGGTGTTTAAGAGGTGTCTGGGAGACAGACTATTTTCAGAAAGAGGGACCTTTCACCATAGCAAATTTGGAGCCAAAAAGCCATCATCTTAGGACGGAGGGATATCAAATGTCTTTTAACATTATAATATTCTTTCTAGGGAGGTAGTATATGACTAGTGGCTTCAGGGTCATTTCAACCTGGACTCAGGGTCTGCCTCTATTATTTTCCAGTTGTTTGGTCTTAGAGAAGTTCTGGAACCTCCCTGACCTGCTGTTTCCTCATCTATAAATTGCAGATGTCCACGTCCTATGTTATTGTAAAGATTCAGTATACGTAAATTACTTAGTATAGCATCTTTACATAATAGATACCCAAATAATGGATGCTGTTGTTTTTCACTCCAGAGAAAATTACTGTCCATGGAATGTAATGCCTGCAGAAAGACAATGGGGTGAGGTGCTTAAGGCTCAAAAATAGAAGTGAAAGAAGATATCACATGATGGCAGGAAACCAAAAAGGACTTCTAATATCCAAACAACCAAACTGCCTCTATCCCCAGTGACTACATATCTTTGTGCTTCCAGGATAGCATCCATTTCAAATATTCTCTTTTATTGTCCCAGTGCACAAACTCATATTGGAGATATAGCCACCTTGATCGTGGACCAGAAAACAGCATTATAAGTCTATTCCATCGAGAGGGGAAAACATCAGCCCTAGTTTCCTCTGCTCCCAGCAGCCCTGTTGTGTCAGAAACAGAACTCTTCTTTCCCAACAAGGTTTTCTTTTTTTTTTTTTGAGACAGAGTCTCACTTTGTTGCCCAGGCTAGAGTGAGTGCCGTGGTATCAGCCTAGCTCACAGCAACCTCAAACTCCTGGGCTCAAGAGATCCTTCTGCCTCAGCCTCCCAAGCAGCTGGGACTACAGGCATGCGCCACCATGCCCAGCTAATTTTTTCTATATATATTAGTTGGCCAATTAATTTCTTTCTATTTATAGTAGAGATAGGGCCTCGCTCTTGCTCAGGCTGGTTTCGAACTCCTGACCTCGAGCAATCCACCCGCCTCGGCCTCCCAGAGTGCTAGGATTACAGGTGTGAGCCACCGCACCCGGCCACCCAAGAAGCTTTTACCTCTAACCCCTCTTCTGAGGTGGCAGCTCTGTTTGCACAGGTGAGCTGATGAACAGCCATGGGACTTTCAGAAGAACCAGACACTTGAAGCACAATGAATACCACGCAGCAGAGGAGGAACCAAAATGCACAGATGGAGGGCTCCCCCCACCCCTAATCTCCCAGCAACCCTCTCTCCTGCTGGGCCTGTGGGATCCACCGCAGCAGGAAATGGTTTTTCTCTTATGAGTGTGATAGAAGCTCATTTCAGAGTATTTTTAAAATACAGAAACACAGAATGAAGAAAAAAACTCATTTTCTTATGACCTAATAATAATTGTCAACATTTTTGTATTTCCTTCTGTTCTTTTCTAAAATATGGTTTGTTTTATATAACTATTGTTTTACCCTGTACATATACTATCTTGTGTTCTTTATTTAAAGTGTAACATTGTAGGCTGGGCACAGTAGCTCACACCTGTAATCTTAGCACTCTGGGAGGCCGAGGCGGGCAGATCATTCAAGGTCAGGAGTTCAAAACCAGCCTGAGCAAGAGTGAGACCCCATCTCTTCTAAAAATAGAAAGAAATTAATTGGCCAACTAAAAATATATAGAAAAAAATTAGCCAGCCATGGTGGTGCATGCCTGTAGTCCCAACTACTCAGGAGGCTGAGGCAGGAGGATGGCTTGAGCCCAGGAGTTTGAGGTTGCTGTGAGCTAGGCTGACACCATGGCACTCTAGCCCGGGAAACAGAGTGAGACTCTGTCTCAAAAATAAAAAAAATAAATAAAATGTAACATTGTAACACATTGAGCAGCGATATGGCATAAGGCAAAAAAGGGCTTGGCTTGGAGGCAGAGGGTCTGAGTATTGATCCCAGCTCTGCCACTTATCACATGACTTTGGGCATACAATTTACCTTTTCTGAGCCTCAAGTTTGTCATCTGTATAATGAGGATGATAGTCACATCCATTCTCTGCCTCCTAGTTTTCTGTGTGGTCCTCTAGACTGTAGCCACTAGGAACAGTGAGCCCCTTCTGACTGGTCCTCTGCTGAGTCCCTATGGTCTGGCTCTGGCGGATGAAAGATGGCCATAAAGTCTTGGCCATTCCTTCCATCCATAGCTAGAGTTTATTTCTCCAACTCTTGGAATCTTGGGCGGGCCTTGTTTGTAAGCCAGCTTCCAAAATGGTCCCCTGTCATTCTCACTTCCTGGTCACTACTGCCCTTTCATAATCTCCTCCCGCCATGAGTCAGGGCTGATGTGTGTGACAAATAGAGTACAGTAGAGGTGACAATGTATGACTTCTTAGGCTAGATCATGAAGGGCATTTAGGCTCCTGCCTTGGTTTCTTGCATCACTAGCTCAGGGAAAAGCAGCTGTCAGGTTGTGAAGACACTCAGACAGGCTGAGGAGAGGACTTTGTGCAGAACTGAGGACTCCTGCCAACAGTAAGCACAGTTTGTCAGCTATGTGAGGGGATTCTTGGAAACGGATCCTCCAGTCCCAGTCGAGCCTTCAGCTGAGTGCAGCCCTGGCCAACATTTTGACTACAATTTCATAAGACACCCCTCAGCCAGAACTGCTCAGAAAAACTGCTCCATAATTCCTGACCCACCGGAACCATGAGAGAGAAATGTTTATTGTCACTTTTAACCACTAAGTTGGGGATTGTTTGTTATGCAGTAGTAGCTAACTAAAACACCCTACAATTGGCTTTGTCCAATAGAATGCAGCAGCAGCAGTGATATTCCGGGACTTCTGAGTCCAGGCCTTAAGAAAACTGAAGCTTCACTTCCTGCCCTTGGAACCAGCAGCTCAGGCCACAAGGAGAAGCCACAGAGAAGAGAACTGAGGAGCTCCTGGCGAAAGCCCCCATGAACCTCCCAGCCAACAGTCAACGCCAACTGCCATCGCTGCGCATGAGCCACCTTGGAGGTTCCAGCTGATTTGCGCCCTAGACCACTGCGGCCTTAGCTGTCACCACAGCGAGCAGAACACAGGCTGAGCTCAGTCAACCACAGAAATGTGAAAGGTAATAAAATGGCTGTTGTTTGCAGCCCCTGGGTTTCGGGATGATGTGTCTGCAACTCCTGGCACCTAACTGGCTCTTGAGAAATATCTGGAGAATACATGGATGACTTTTGTTGGGTCTCAGCTTCCTGTTTGAGAAAATGGCAGGGGTTGTTAGACCACCCATGCTTTACATCCTCCGAGTCCCCATCTGTCCGCCATGTCAGCTGCTTACCCGGCCGCCTGCCACAGGGTCACGCTTTATTCTTGCAGGAAGATTCTGCTGTCTGTGGCGTCTCTGCTCCCACCCTGTGCCAGTTCCCCCTCCTTGCTGTCTGAGGCATGCACACACTCGGGCACCTGCTTCCTCGCAAAGCTCTCCTGGGGTTTCCATCACGGGGCCGTGTCACTGGGCAGGGGGACAGTGGCACGGGCCCTCCGCCTTACGGGCCGCACCTGCTCGCTTCAGCCAGAGGAGACTGGAAACGTTCCCAACGCGTCCCTGGGTCACACAGGCAAAGAGTAGGACAGATGCAGACCGTGTTTGCCACCTACCCTTCCTCAAGGCCAAGTCCTGTGATCATCTTTTGGTTAGAAAATGGCCTCTGGCTCTGTATCCAGGGCCAGGGAGAAGTGTCCCGAAGTGGAGACGAAGTCTCTGCTTCTGAGAATGGTTGCTCGGCCTCTGGCTTATTAGGGTTTCCTTGCTTGCCACAGAGGTGCCACGATGACTTTTATTGGCAGTGCCTGCAGGCACTTGGGGGGAGGGGGTAGATCTCTGATTCCCATCGAAAAAATAATGAAAAGGCAACTGAGGGCTGGAGAAGTCAAGTAGCTAGCCCAAGGCCACAGAGCAAACCCAGCTCACTGGTGGATTCAGACTCACCTCCCTTCTATTTCTAGTCACCCACCTGACGCTCCTACACCCACCTGGCCTCTGAGCAGTCATGGTGTGACCCACTTAACTCATTATTCACAAGCGCAGGTGGCCCTTCCTGACTATAAGTCATCCACAAATCACCATCATCACCATTTTAACTAGTAAGGCCTCTCTCATTAAGCTGTAAAGTTACCCGTCCCAGACTCTAGAAAGCCACTCAGTTTCTGGAAGCTGGGAGGAACGATGACATTATTCATCTATCCAGCCAGGAAGCACGGATTGCACACCCAGTGGGTTCTGGGTGCTCTGTAAGGTGCTAGAGACACAGCAGTGCACAAAACCCAGGCCCTGCCCACAAGGAGCTTGCAGCATTGTAGGAAATGCCACAGCCCTCTCCTTTCATACAAATTATGATGGTACATGAATGTCACAGCTCACGGCATAGTTTTCATACAACACAGAGCAGAGGGGAAAACAGCGGCCCCCTCCTTACGCTCCAGACTTGCCCACCTCCCTTCTGGATCTGGCCTCTTGGATGCCAATAATCATCCTGTGTCAAAATGCCTCACCCTCGGGTTCTGCTCACCCCATCTTTGTCAAAGGCACCACCACCCACCTACCCACTCGCCCAAGTCAAAAAGCATGACTGTCCTCAATCGCATCCTTTCCTGGTCACATCCAATCCATGAGCAAGTTCCAGGTTGGGCACGTCCAAACCCTATCCCAAATGTGTCTCTGCAGCCATCATCGTCTCTCACCTCATCTCTCTGTTTTTACTCAGTGATTTCTCTTTAAAATGATAATCACACACCTCAAATGGGCACTTGACCCTGGCCAGCACGCCTGCATTTCCTGAGTAAGTTCACTTTCCCTCTCTCAGACATCTATGATGCTCTTTCTGCAGAAAGTCTAACCTCTCAGGCTTCCTGAGAGGTTCCTGCTGCAACCACATCCCCTCTTTCGCCTGCATAATTGAGTCCTCCTGTCTACTGGATCGCTCCCATCAACACACAAACATACCCTGGTGTCTCCCTCCTGACATGTCCCCTGCCCATTGCCCATGGCCCCTCCTGCTGCTGTCCCAGTCTCTGCTGTCCCTGACAGCAGAACTAACTCCTCCAGAGAGTTCTCCTCTTTCTTTCCTATCATCCTGCTCCAAAGTGCCCTCTGCCTCTGTCCCTCCCCTGAAACTGCTCTTGTCAAACCACTGGTGACCTCCATCCCGCCAAATCCAGAGGCCACTTCCAGGTCTCTGTCTTACTTGGCCCTTACCCAGTCCTTTGCAAAACATCCATTGGCCACCTCTCAACTTGTCCAAGCCTTGTTCCCTAAGACTGGTCTCTCCTGTTCCCTGTAGACCATGATGGGATGGAAACAGCAAATTCCAGCACCCGGGACACCCATTTCTGGTGGTCCAGCAGATCGGACTTGAAGCAGGATCTCAATCTGTCCATTGGTGCCACGAAATGCAAGAGTGGAGTGTTGGCCAGGGCAGGCCATGGGGTATCAACTATGGTCACCAAACAGCGTCTCCATGAACCTGTTCTCTTCATCTTTTCCAGAGGACTAGAAACAGAAAACTTAAAACATTAATGCAGGGAGTGATAGGATTCCTGGTGTTTCTTTCCCCCCCCCCTCAGTTTCCATAATTGGAGTTTGGGAAACAGAGAAAAGTTGGATACTGAAAAATAAAGTGCCTGATAAAAACATTTGGCCCTCACCTGTGGATCTTGCCTGCGGGTGGCGAGCAGGGAGGAGGCCCCACCAGGCAGCAGTCCATCCATGAAGCAGCCCTGCTGGCTGTGGCTCTGAAGGACATGACAGCCAGAGCCTGGCTGGCGTCATTCAAGGTTCCTGTGCAGCTGGGATGGATGCTCAGTGACCTTTTCGAGAACTTGCTTATAGAAGTCATGTATCTGTTGTAATTCTGTTTAACCTTTATGCTGACAAACAAGGGGCCCGGGGAACAACTTTCTGGAGATCAGTCCATATCTAATCCCAACCCTTTTCATCAATACCTACCTCCTTCTCAGCCCTCTTCACCTATACCTGGCTCAGAGGCTTCAGTTCTCCTTCCCGAAGATGAAATCAAGGCCTGTCACCCTGGCAACAAATTTCCTTTGGCCCTGGCTTGCAAATCAACAGTGGCCTTGGTCCCCGGTCCTCTCCTGGGGTGCCTGTGTATTTCCTTTGTGACACTTATCAAAAGAGTAATTATTAACATCTCTGCCCCTGGACCTTGACCTCTGTGAACACAGGGGTCAGATCTTGTCCCTTCTTCCTCCCCCAAGACCAGGCTTATCAGGAAGACTCATTGCTGAAGGAATGCTGTCCTCTCTGGGCCTGTCACTCTTCTCTGTACCTCTCTGTTCCTCAGCTCTTCCAGATGCAATATGTTCTATCCCGCTAGCATTTGGAAAGGTCCTGTCTGACTCCAGCTTTGTCTATCAGAAGGACAGAAAGAAAAAAGTTCCTGCGTGCTGACTTGAGATATATTTAGGCTAGAAGCTACTGGGATGACCCAGAGTTCCTGTTCCTGCTCCGCAGTGGTGTGACAGACGTCATTTCTTGCTGTGCCTCAGAAGCTTCAAACTAACGAGTCCCATCGAGGGAATAGAGTAGCACCGTGAGATAAAAAGGCACAGATCGTCTAGTCTGAATCCTTAGCATAAAGTTTCCAAGGCTTGGGGGGAAAGTAAAAAAAAAAAAAAAAAATCCTTAGAATGTATCAGGGGGAAGGCTGGGGACAGTGACTCCTGTGACATTATCTCCAACATCAACTGAAACGAATGCAACCTCCCAGCAGCAGTATTTGTTTAAAAGAGTGAACTCTCTCTGCCTTCAAAGAGTTTATTTTCTAAACCACATGGGATATATAAAGATAGGTAGACATCCCTGTTCTGTGGCCAAGTCTGGGAAACAAGAGAAGGGGGCGTGCTAAGTTTTGCTGTCCCTTAGGATTCTTGAAGATTGAAAAACCAAGATCTAGTAAGAGGAGGGTGATGTTTTCTGAAGTTTCTTCTTTTGGGGACCAGCTGCAGAAGTGCTGTGTGACAGGCCCAAACCTGGCTGCTGATGAGTTGGCCGGGGGAGGCCTATGGGGGGACTGGAGGTGGCAGCCCCATAGAGGAAGTGGGGGAGGGATAAGGATATGAGTAGAACCAAGAACTCGCACGCGTGCGCGCGTATGTGTGTGTGTGTGTGTGTGTGTGTGTGTGTGTGTCCTTTTGATGCAATGACTTCCTCCAAGGGACTGCCTTCAAATGCTCAATGCTCATCTGTGTTCATAAAACACAAAATGTTTTGTTATTTAAATGAAAGCTAGCAGGTGAGTTTCCCCATGATGAAGGAGAACACTGGTTCAATTTCCGGAGATTGAACAAAGACTACATCAAACTATGGCTAAGTGTGTAAAATTGTCATAAGAGTATCAATATAATTCAGAAAAGGATTCTCAGAATTTTTTTTTTTTTTTTTTTTGAGACAGAGTCTCGCTTTGTGCCCGGCTAGAGTGAGTGCCGTGTATCAGCCTAGCTCCACAGCACCTCAAACTCCTGGCTCAAGCAATCCTCCTGCCTCAGCCTCCAAAGTAGCTGGGACTCAAGGCATCGCCACATGCCGGCTAATTTTTGTATATATTATTTGCCAATTAATTTTTTCTATTTATAGTGGAGACGGGTCTCGCTCTTGCCAGGCTGGTTTCGAACTCCTGACCTCGAGCAATCGCCGCCTTGGCCTCCCAGAGAGCTAGGATTACAGGCGTGAGCCACCTCGCCCGGCCTCAGAATTTTTTTTTTTTACTTATTTATTTTTCTGAGGCAGAGTCTCACCCTATTACTCCTGGTAGATGTAGCAGTGTCATTGTAACTCACTTCAACATCAAATTCCTGGGCTCAAGCCATCCTACTGCCTCAGCCTCTCGAGTAGCTGGGACTATGACGCCCAGCTAATTTTTCTATTTTTAGTAAGATGGGGTCTTGCTCTTGCTCTCAGACTGGTCCTGAACTCCTGAGCTCAAGCAATCCTCCCTTTCTTGGCTCCTAGGGTGCTACCAGGCATGAGTCATCATAGCCAGCTGGATTCTCAGAAGATTAAAAAAATGAGGACCGGATCTCTAAGATTCATTCCAGCTCTATAATCCTATTTAGAAATAAATAAAAGCCTTTACAAAAAAAAACAGATGGATATGTTTTGGTTTTAAGAAGAGCTTAACTCTTGTTTGATGGGGAGAAAAGATTGCCAAAATTGTTCTAGAAAGCTACCCCTAGGCCAGGTGTGGCAGCTCACACCTGTAATCCCAGCACTTTGGAAGGCCAAGGGAGGAGAATCACTTGAGCTCAGGAGTTCGAAACCAGCCTGAGCAAGAGCTAGACCCTGTCTACTAAAAATAGAAAAAATTAACCTGCTGTCCTGGTGTGTGCCTGTAGTCCCAGCTACTCTGGAGGCTGAGGCAGGAGGATCACTTGAGCCCAGGAGTTTGAGGTTGCTGTGAGCTATGATGACGCCATGGGCACTCTAGCCTGGGCAACAGAGCAAGACTCTGTCTCAAAAAAACCAAAAAACACTACCCCTTTTTTTTTTGCCTTTCTCACTAATTAGGCCAAATAGGAATCATGAGTCTGACTTCTGTAGACTATAGGATTTTTTTAATAGCTTATTTTAAGCTTTTTATCATAGAAGTTTTCAAACATATACAAAAGTAGAGAGGATTAGCAGAATCAAACCTGTGTACCCATAACCCAGCTGTATCAATGAGCAACACACATCTCATCTTTTTTCATCAACCCTCAACTCCTTCTTCAATTAAATTCCAGATATATTATTTCATTTCTAAAAACTTCACTACGTATCTCTAGATAAAGGTTCTTTAAAAATAGACCAATATGACCGAACCCGAATACTAACCACAATAACTTCTTTAAGCTAGAAAAATTACCACAATAATAACAATAAAATTAACCAAAAATTAACAATGAATTCCTACCCCGAGTCAACGATCAGTCCAGCCAGGGTTTAAGTCATGCATGCAATTTTCTTTCTTCATACTTTGCGACACCTTAGTCAAACACGCAAGTCCCTTTTAAATCGACACAGCTTACAGATCACGCCCCCCTGGGCACGCGTGGCTCACGCCCTGTAATCCTACACGCACCTCTTGGAGGCCAAGCGGCCGCTGTCGGCACCTCGCTATCGCAGGTCAGGTATTCCGCACAACCGAGCCCGAGCGAGAGCGCACCGTCTCTACTGCGAAAACACTTCTAGAAGCAATATTAATTTGAACCAACCTAAACAGATGAATATCCAGTAACCCCAAAAATTACCCAGCTGCCCGGCACCGCGCGTGGCAGGCGTGCCTCCGTAGTCCCAGGCTACGCTGGGAGCCTGAGGCAAGAGGATTGCCTTGACCGCGCGCGAGAGTTTGCAGTCTGCCTGAGCCTAGGCTGAGCCTACCAAACGGCACTCCATCTCTAGCCCTGGGCAACAACAAGTGACGACTCGTGCTC